AATCAGGGTATGACAGTGGATGTGGGGAGAGGTGAACAGACCCCACAGATACTTAAGAAGCAACATCAACTAAGCTTGGTAAGGGATTAGAAAGGAGATGAGGAATGGCCCGCTGGGTCTTGGTTTTTGGAGCTAGATGGTGGTGGGGCCATCCCCTGAGATAGGAACACTGGCAGGAGACCATGGTGGTTTCATTCTGGACAAGTTGAGCTTGGAGTCTTTGTTACCACCTTTTTTAGTGATACAAAGAATAAAGTCAAAATGTAAATATCTTCGGATGAAATGTTACAAGAACTGAGGCCATGTTCAACATGGCAACAACTGTTCTCTTATGAAACTGAGTTTTATATGAGCGAGTTCATTTTATTCCTTGTAGAGTACCACTTTATGTTTATGAACAAATGCATTTAAAATCATCTTTTGGAACAAAGCCTGTTACTAAAGACAGGACTACTCTGCTATGAGTATAATTGCTTCTAAAATGTCTACTCGTAGACAGACTTGTATAAGCCATCATTAATTCTTTGTATAATTAATGTATAAAACGCAGAGTTTCTATTAATGGAAAAGAAACTCAAGCATCACACCAATATATCAATAACATGCATTTGTAATCACATACTGTAGATAACTGTAAAAGCTACATTTTATTACATTAATAAAACCTAAGAACTCCTGAAGCGACCGGGAGAAGGGCAGAAGCCCCACTATTAGGGCTCCCTGCTTCAGCAGTCAGGAGGAGTCTGTCAAATTGCCGTGAGCTGGTTAGTAACACTCAAAGTGCATTGGGGGAATCTTCTTCCCCCATAAAATAATGAGCATGTATTTTTCAAGATAAAAAATTGCATGTTGGTGGAATAGCATGCTTGCTATGTGAGAGTAACAACGCAAAGATAAAAATCAAACCCAGTGAGAACAAAAAGTGGAATGGGAGAACTTCTTGTTCCTCCAGATGGACTGAGCGATCAGGTTCTGCCACCACAGATGTGAAAAACAGCTTACTCCCTAAGTATGCTGCAGAGACAAGGGGAACCCATAAAGGGAGTGTTAATTTCACGGAGGGAAAGTGTATAGGGTTCTGAGTGTTCCGGGTTAATGCCTTGGTCACACTGACAGGTAAGAAAACCAGTGTGTTGGACTGACTGGCCCAATCGATATCTCTTTAGGTGTCTGCCAATCACTCCATTAGGGAGCAAGACTGGGTGGATTAGTTCGAGCAGCTTCTCAGATGCGCTAAGGACTCAGCCGGTCTCTCTTCCCCAGGTAGGAAATGGGAGAATAGCTTCATTTTGAGAAGGATCGGGGAGGCCTCCAGATCTGGGGGGGGCTGGGAAATGTTCAAAACAACTGAGAGGCAGCCGACTACTCTGCAACTTGTGCTGCAGAAATATTCGTAGAAACACAGAAGACATTTCTAAAAACTAAATAAATAGACTACATGGACCAGATTACATCATCTGATCCAAAACTCAGCTGGGGGAGGATTTAAGATATCAACAGTGGAGTGTCAAAAGCATAATGTTTCTGTTGGCTATAGCCCCCAGAATTCCCAGTGAGTCCTTCCCATTGATTAACTTTGAAATGGAATCCAAACATTCTCGGCTGCAGGGAAAAGTTTATTTTTTTTCTTTTTCACACTACCTACCAGTTTTGACCTAAAAATCATTTGATGTCATTTTTTTCCTTCTGAATCTTGCATTCTAATCATCCTCTCAGGGTGCTCACTTTCTCCCATTTTACAGAATTTTTGTCCTGGAGCAAAAAAATGAGTTGCTCTACTGAATGTGTAGTCTAGAAAGGGGTACAAGGATGGGCTTCAGGTTGTCCAGATTTGTCTACAAAAGTTTTTTGCGTATGTGCTTTTTCCAGGGAGGGGAGTCCAGGGATTTTGTAATATGCTCCAAAGGGTCTGTGAGTTCCCCTTCCAGCATTTAAGAAGCATTTACTGGGGTGCCTGGTTGGCTCAGTCGTTAAGCATCTGCCTTCGGCTCAGGTCACGATCCCAGAGTCCTGGGATCGAGCCCCGGCATCGGGCTCCCTGCTCCGTGGGAAGCCTGCTTCTCCCTCTCCCTGCTTGTGTTCCCTCTCTCACTGTGTCTCTGTCAAATAAATAAAAAATCTAAAAAAAAAAAAATTAAAAAAAAAAAAAGAAGAAGCATTTACTGACCCTGACAAAAAACAACATAAAGACAACACGCAACAGAGTTCTCCTACCCTCTTCCTGTGGATGTATTTCCTCATAAGGCCAAGAGGTGGCAGCATAAACACCAGCCTGTAGCTGTCCCATTTTCCTGACCAGACAGAACTTCCAAGGGTAAAATGTAAGGATGTGAAAACCCATCAGTAACCTTGTTTTGGCTTGGACAGATTGTGGGGATGTGTCCCCTCAAACCACCTTAAAATATTCCTGGAGGAATAGACCGGGATGGAATGAGCAGTCCTGGCCTTTAAGGTCACATAACATTGAAAGAAAACATGTAGTATCCTTTTATTCGAGTCCCATGCCAGAAAGGCACACAGCTTGATCATTGATTGAATCAAAAGCACATACTTTACATAGAATATACTCTCCCCACCTGTGACTAGTACTTCATTTTACTACATAGTGTCATTGTTTATATACTATACTAACTGCCTTAAGAAATTACTGGGGTACCTGGCTAGCTCAGTGGGGCATGCCACCTTTGATTGTGGGGTCGTGAGTTCGAGCCCCACATCGGGTGTAGAGATTATTTTAAAAATAAATAAAAAAATTTAAAAAAAAAGAAATTACTTTGTTTGAATGGAAAAATAGTTTCTTTGAACCAACACCAAAAGGTAACTTTCAGTTCTTCTACTCCGTGGGGGGTTGAAAATAACAGAAAAGGGGGAAGTTGTCTGACACATGCAGATTCCGATTTTTATTTTGATAATTATCACTTTCATTTTCTGTGAAAGTATGAGACGCACGATGTTTGCTACGAATTCTTAACCAGAGGCACACTGGGTAATTTCTCTACTTTAAACATATCTAGTCAATTCAAATATAAGCATTTTAAATAGCAGATTCTGGGTGTTAATATGGCTGATTATGGTGAAATTTCTCAGGATAGACCCATGTGTTTAATGATATATGTTCTGCGATCCTAGTAATTCTTAGTGATGAAATTAAGCTTGTGTTTCTATCTTCAACAAGTCAAGCATCAGACCTTAAAAAGCAATTATTTGATGGGCTTAAATGAAATATGTTTTGCCTATTATTTCTATTGCCTTGAAAAGTTTCCATAAAATTCATAATTATTAGGCAACAGAGAGCAGATATGCCCAGTTCCAGGCTGTTTTGTGTGAGAGAAGATGATAGAAAGGGCCTGGTGGCATTTGACAAATATCAACAGACATAATGCAAATTTTGTGGGTGGAATAGAACTTAAGAAATATTTGCCAGCCTGTGTTGATTCATTTTTCACAGTCCAGTTTAAACTGTGAGTCTCCCTTGAAATAGAAAATAATCTCCTGTGGTTAAACAAGAACTAAGTGTTCAGGGTATAAGTCGAGCTTCTCTCGGATAATACGTGATTTTGAAAGAGCCATTAGTTGGTCAATTAATTAATCAATTGATTAGTATTTATGGAGCATCTATTTTTTTGCCTAGTTTTCTGCTAAGTGTTGTGAAGATTACAAGACAAATGTAATGCATAATTTCTTAGTTATATTCATGTTACCTTTTGTGCCTTAATATGTGAATGTGGGGAAGACAGTGCTATTTGGGATCCATGGATCCTAGGGGTATAAAAGGGCACTTTGTTAAGTGTTTTAATGTAAATGCTTCTCTTTCACTTTCTGGAGAATATCTGTTTGAGAAGGACTAGATGCAACCCCTTTCATTTGTATGCTCCCCACTTCCTATTAGCCCAAGTGCTTGACACACCTGGAGTTCCTTTTATTTTTTTTTTTAAAGACTTATTTATCTGGGGCACCTGGTGGCTCAGTCGGTTGAGCCGCTGCCTTCACCCGGTGTCATGATCCCCGGGGGGCCTGGGATGGAGCCTGGCATTAGGCTCCCTGCTCAGCGGGGAGCCTGCTTCCTCTTCCTCTGCCATTACCCACCCCCCACCCCACTCCTCTACCCGCGTCTCCGCTTGTTGTCCCTCGCTCTCTCTCTGTCAAGCAAATAAATAAAATATTTAAAAAAATAAAAGACTTATTTATCTATTTTAGAGAGAGAGCGCGTGCAAGCACGGACGAGGGGGCAGAGGGTGAGGAAGAAAGAGTCTTAAGCGGACTCGGCCCTGAGTGCGGCACCTGAAAGCTGGCTGGGGGCGGTGGGGCGGGGGGGCCCTGAGATAACAAACTGAGTGGAAACCAAGAGGTGGGTACTTAGACTGTGCCACCCAGGCACCCCCGGATTCCTTTTATGAAAAGTTTTCATTAAACACCAATTGGTCCAGATGGGCCACAGTTTGCAGGGCCTTTAGGCTGCTAGTTTGTCTTGTTCTCAAGAATGATGTTTGTGTGTTCTTGTCTGATAGCTCTACCATAAGGGATAGAAAATGCACAAAAGGCTTGTCAGCCATGCAGATCTTCTGGTAGCATAGATCCTATTGGGGTGCATGGTTATCTTTGGGGGGCAAAGGTGGGGGCTCAAGCCATAGAACAGGTTTGGACTGGGTGGCCCTTTCTCCTGAGCACTGAATTCACTTCTAAGAGCACCGCGGGAGTGTATATCTATGGGGACTATTTTAAAATATTCCCAGTGTGTTGGGACCGATGGAGAGGCTGAGTCAACAAATATGGAATCGACCACACTTTGGATTATAGTTCCCATGGGATAAAAGGGATATTTCTGGAACCTTCGTATTCTGTGTAGTTTCAGGGTTCTCACACAGCCTTTAATCACCTACGTATTTAAGGCATCATTATTTTTTTAACACAGTGGATTTATGAAATTCACAAATAGCAATTAAGTTCAGATTCCTCTTTAAAAAAATTCTTATGCTGCAGCTTGACTTACCTCAGTTTTATCTGACCTATAATTATTCCATATATTAGATGGTCTCAATCACTAATTCCCAAAGTGTAATCCTAGAAATAAAAGTTCCGCAGCCTATTAATAAGCCTTGTTTGGAAAAGGGTTATGCAAATAAATTTGAGAAATGCCGGGCTAGGCCAAGTTCAGCAGGTTTCTTGACGGTAAGACTTAATGTGATTTGTAAACCTTGGATGGGGGAGAATGTGAGGCGTTCCCCAAATGCACTGGTCAACTTTCTTTCCAGGGAAGGTCTTGTAGGACCCGTGTTCTAGGAACTACACATTGAGAAACACTTGTCTGTAGATTTGTTCCTGTTTGAAAACACTTTATCCGAGGAAAAGTGGACAAGTTTTATGAAGGAAAAGTAGATATAGGGAAGACAGAAGACTACCAAAGGGTTTATTTTGGAGATTTTTTTTTTTTTTTTAAATAACCTAAGACCAAAAAGGCAACAGGGAGGTCTATGGTAGTGAATGAACACGTTATAAGAAAACACATTTTACAATAATTTTTAAAAAGTGCATTGAGGATTACATATTGGTGAAAATATAAAGAGGCAGCTAAAATAATACCATTCTCACTAAATACACAATTTAGTGTAAGGATCTCATTAAGATTCATGTTCTGAAAACGTTTCATTTCTCAAATAGGCTTGGGCCTTTTATGTATAATTTAACAATGGAAACCATAACAACAATAATGTATGGATAGGAAGAGTTTATCCTCTTGAACGAACAAATTAGGTCATCGTCAAGCAGTTTTATTTAATGGGAATCCCCGCGAGGTACTTTCACAGTGAGAAATGGCTCTTCTCCTGTTAGAAAAGAATGCTGAAAAGAACATTCCCCTCCGTTTCGCACAAGACCTGGAGTTGTGCCACAAGAATTGTCAATGTATTAACCACCCCCACCCTCCTACTGGTGTTGGCATGCATCATCCAATCCAGTTGTCTATCAGCGGGGAGCCCTCGTTCGAAGCAAGGCCGGATCCACAACCTCTCCACTCTGCACCCGGGGCTAGGTCTGAGTGTTTGAAGAAAACAGAGCCGCTTCTCACTTGCTCTCTGCCCTGCGGTTCCAGCTGGATAAGTCTAGGAGACGTCCAGCAGATCTCTGATTTGGGGCTTTTTAATAAGCGTCCCTAATAAGATCATCGATCAAAAAGCAAGAGCACTAAGTATGCCTAAATGTAGGAATTCTTTCTGATGAGGGTAATAATACAAAGGAAACCGAAGTTCTACTTTTGACTCCCCATGGGTGATGGGCGTCTGGTCTTAACATCTGCCCGGGGCGGGAGACCCACCTCCAACACCTTTCTCTTTCTCAGCAAGCCTGGGTCTGAAACAGGAGCGGGGGATTTGTTGGTGATGGGTTTCTAGAGCACCAGAGGAGGGAAATCCAGAACTTCCTTTGGAGAGATCGTGACCTTCCTAACAGGTACCATCATCAGGATGGTAATTCTTGAAATATGTAAATAAAAGTCGCGCTAAAAATAGCAGTGCCGGCCGGCCGGCCGGCGTACCTAAGGGATTGCTGCAGTCTGACTGCGATTCTTCCCAGGCCACAGCGTGTCAGATAAGCATCTGCTCGTTTTCGGTTTTGCTTTTGCAAGAGCTCGCCCCCCAGGGGGAGCTCAGCCGCCCAGCGCAGCCGGCGGGGCGCGGCGGCTCCGGGACTCCGTCCAGGGCCCGCGCCGCGGGGACCGTGCAGCCGGGAGAGCGCGGGGCTGCGCGCGCCCCGGAACCTCGGCGCGGGGGGGTTTCATCTAATATTAATTGTTTTAACTTCTTGTGGTTTAAGCGGTTTTATTGGCAGCAAGATGCAGGCAGCAGCGCGTTAGGGGCGAAGGCTTCGGATTGCGCTCACAGGGGAGACAATGGGCTGGAATCTGAGAAAACAAACCCAAGATGTTAATTAGCCGCTAAGGCACTCGGGGCACTTTGCAAATACTAACATAGCCTACTTGTAAACTCCCGAGGGCTGCGACTTCGTTATTTGTTTGGTACGCTTTTTATTTATAATGCATTGTGGTGTCATTTTGAGTTGTGAATAATTGCTCGAGAAAGTGGGGGAAGGGTGATCAATAGAGAGAAAGGAAATTCTTTTTCCTCCAGCTCACTGTGTTCTTCTGCATTTTTGCAGACTTCCATGGATCTCAGAGAAAACCATCTATTTTAAAGAGGAACGAGGTTGGTCCACCGTAAGTGATACGTAAAATGGCACAGACTAACAGAGGGAAGGGCCGAGGGTTGTCCTTGACTGTTTATTGTGTTGTAGGCAACTGCGTTCTTTATTCTGTTTCATCCTTTCCACCACCTGGTGAGGTAGGGGGTGTTCTCACCGCACTGCCGGTGAGCAAGGGTCCCGCGCCCCCGCCCCGCCCTGGCTGACTGCAGAGGGGCCGCCAGACAGTCTCTCTGGCGGGGACCTCGGGGGAGCCTGTGGCCGTCGGTGCCCTGAAGCATGGATTCGGAGCATCAGCAGCTTGCCTTTGAAACCTTGGGCTGTGTGACTCTGAGCGGGTTATTTGCCCTGGCTCAGTTTCCGTTTATACCTAGCTCCTGGGTTTGCTGGAAGACTTAAGGCCGCTCACCCAGAGCCAGGCAGGAGCCTGGGGGAGGGGGGGGGCGCTCAAGGAGTGGAAGGAATGCCTAATTTCTTTATCTCTCAGTGGGTGGTGACTTCTGCCCCACAGCCTGCAAATAGGCTGTAAAAACTTAAAAAAAAAAAAAAACCAATAACAATAAACAAACTGTGCAATAAACAGGTAGTTGAATTAGTCGCTGAGTTTGGATCCGGGAAAAGGTTCAAATCCTGGCTCTGCCCTGCTGATTGTGTGACCCGAGGCCAGTTAATTAACTGTGGATGCCTCAGTTTCCTCCTATGTAAAATGAAGGTAATAGGGTGGCTATGAGAATGAAGGGGCATGCCTGGGATGCCCTTTACATGGAGGTATAGCACCTCCTGAGGGCAAAATCATTGTCTGTTAGTATTATTTCCTTCAGATACCAAAATGGAGCATTTTCTCTTCCGGATTCATATGCTGATGGTTCCAGAAGAGAACTGTTGGATTTCTGTCTTACTATTCTGCTGGTCACACCTCAATTTCTTTTCCCATTCACACTATTTCACATTTTTTCTTACTGGGTCCCAGATATTGTTCCATAATGTCCTTCTGCCTCTTTCTAGACTGAGGGAGACACTGGACGGCTGACTCCTATTGCATTCACATACCATTATAGTGAGCCAGGTGCTGTGGGTATGTGTTGGGGGGGTGGGGGGGATGCAGGGATCCAGACACCATAAAGAAGCTGTGCCTGTGCTCAAGGAACTCCCAAAGAAAGATGGAAAGACAGGGAATAAGTATTAAAAATCCAAGGCAGGGGGTGCCTGGGTAGCTCAGTGGGTTAAGTCTCCTATCTTTTTTTTTTTTTTGGTCAGAGAAGAGCGAGAGAGAGCACAAGCAGGGGGGAGCGGCAGGCAGAGGGAGAAGCAGGCTCCCTGCGGTACAAGAAGTGGGATGTGGGACTTGATCCCAGGCCTCTGGGATCATGACCTGAGCCAAAGGCAGATTTAACCAACTGAGCCACCCCAGCATCTCTAAGCCTCCTACTCTTGATTTTGGCTCAGGTCATGATCTTAGGGTTGTGAGATCAAGCCCTGCCTCCCGGATCCGTGCTGCTTTAAGATTCTCTTTCCCTTTCCCTCTGCCCCTACCCTCTAAAAATTAAAGAAAATTAAAAAAAAAGAAGAAGAAAAGAAAAGAAATCCAAGGCAGAATGAGGTGAGTGCATGTGAGGAGCTGGTCAGGTAGACTGTAGTAGCGGGTGTCAGAAATGTGGTAGGAGGTGTCAGAAATGTGGTAGGATCTGGGATGGGTAGAATCCCTGGAAAGGATGGATTGGAGACAGAGAGAGCTGAGACAGAAGGGAGCAGGAGCCTGAGCAAAACTGTTGGTGGTGGTGGTGGGGGACAGCGAAAGGAGGGTTTGGGAAGCATGTTTTCCTTTCCGAGATGGTTTAAGGGAGTAGTAAAGGATGGAGCCAGGGCTGATGCTGAATGAAGGGAACCGATGGTGGGAGGGCCATAAGCAGGGTGAGGTTTCCCAGGGTCGGATGACGGTGAAGAGCAGTTTTATTAATGTTTTGGTAAAGTGTGAGAGGTGAAAGGTAAGGAAATTGTGGCTGGGAGCCTGGGCTCTGGGTGGAGACTGATGTTCCAAAGGGCACCCAGGGGGCTGCCGGGATGCTGCTCCCCCTGGGCTGTGGCCAAGGGGGGTGATGATAAAGGGATGGGGCAGGGAGAAAGTGGGGAGGGACTTGTGTTTGCATTGCTTCTGGGCTTCCTGTGCCCTGGAACCTATTTTCTCAGAGAAACGGTATTAGACAATGTGTCCAGGTTCTAAAGTGAACTCATAAAGCCCATTTAATCCACAGTGTTTCACATCATATCATAGTACACAAAGCCTATTAATCCACAATGTGTCATAGCATACCACAGTACACTTGGTATGAATTACCAAGACCGTGTCTTAGAATTTAATGTCTGTGGGAAAATTCATTGCGAATTCCAAGTAATGGGCTAGGAACATGATGGTCAGCTGGGAACTCTCTGATATGAAACAGTTACACTGTGTGCCCAGGGAATGTTTACCTGGAGAACACCTGTTCTGTTGCAAACCACCCGATAACATTGGGGTTGGCAAATGAGAAAAGAAATTTCTTCCTAGTAGCTTATGTTCTATGCTTTTTATGGTTTAGAATTTAAAAGACACAGCAAATATTATTCTTGTGTTACATTTGCAGATAATAAATTTTTATCCTTATAACTGAAGAGAGAATAAATATACTTCATTGACAGCATTTGTTGTCAATGGTAGTTGTTGATCATCGGCCTTTTAAACTGGTCCTGCGACGTTTTTCCTGTCCTGGGATTTTAGAATCAATGACTAGTACGGTTATGAGAGGTCACGCTTAGACATCTGTATGGATAAAAACTACAAAGAGCTCAATCGTGGAGTATTTTAAAAAGTGGATCCTTTTGAATAGATATGACATGTTATTTCTTATATTATTGTCACCTTTGCCATTGTCATTATAATCAGCAGTAACATCATGCCATTTATTAAATGCTTACTGTATGCCCAGGACACCCTTTGAGAACCTCTACCTTAAAGCACCTATTACCATTTTGCAGCAAAAACTAGTTTTTGCCAAACAGTGCCCCGGAGAACTGCATTAGCCATCATCTAAGATTTTTTTTTTTTTGTCAATCAACAAACATGGACCAAATACTGTGCCAGACACTGGGAAATCAGTTCTGATTAAAATGAATCTGTTGTCCTAGAACTTAAAGTTGGAAAGGTACATAATTAAGTAAATCATTCCGGGTACACGAAGTGCTATGTAGGGGTAGTGCAGAGTATTGAAGCATATGGGAGGGGATCTGTTCTCAGGCGAGAGTGGTCAAGGAGGGTTTTTACAGACAAGATGGACAAGACAGATAGGCAGGAGTTAACCAAGTAAAAAGAAGGATCATGAGCCCACAGAGGGAGTTGAGTGTATGGAGCTTGAGGGGTGGGTGAGAGTGTGGTGCCTGAGGAACTGAAAGGGGTCAGATACAGTTGGAGGTGAGAAATTGACTGAGAAGCTGCTGGAGATGAGGCTGGAGAGATGATAGGAGTCAGGCTCCCTGAAGGAGCTGGATCTTAATGCTGAGGGCGTGGGGAAGTCACTGAAAATTTTGGAGCCAAGAATAATCAGATTTGTATTGTAAAATTTGTCACTTTGCCAGCGGAGACTGGACTGGAGGGGTCAAGAATAAAGGGGACGAGGTAGACGTGTCCAGGTGAGATATAAGGGGGTCTGGATTAGGGTGGTGATGTTGGGATCAGAAGGAACTAAGATTTACCACATACCATGTTACACCAATTCTTTTTTTTTAAATTATGAAATAACCTTCTTTATTACCATGTTACACCAATTCTGAAATGTATAGGTGTCATATTTTCATCTCTGAAATTGTGATAAGGCTTAGATTTGGTGGAGGTTTTGTTTCTTAGAGGCACACAAGACAGTGGTGCATCCAGTAACCTATGGCTTCTGGTGTTAGATGAAATATGGCGCGCAAGAGGTCAAACCTGCCGGTCTTGGTGGTGCGGTGCTCACGGGGCCAGGGGCCTGAGCAGCCAGCTGAATGGTGGGGCTGCAGTTCCAGCAGAGAAAAGGCTTTATGAGAACAGTTTTATTCTTCTGATTTTTTTTTTTTAACTTGGAAAAGTCCAAGTGAGAAAAGCCGTTGGTTAATATATACCAGGAGATGAGGTGCCGATTTAAAAAATTGTGAAGTAGTCTATCTAGGTTTTAATTGTTGATATTAAATTGCTTTTATTCATTTTATTAAATGTTGTTTTACTAATTGCTGATGCTAAACTGGTTTCTCGTATAGATGTATTTCCCAGTTTGATCTCTCTTGATCTCCCTTTAAAGCAGTATATTTACATTTCCTGCTGTAGTTAGCATTCCTTCCTATCAGTTTTACTATCTGTCTCTTGAGGATTCAATAACTTTAATTTATGCATGATAGACCACGTGGTGATACCAAGTATTTGTTTTGTTGGTGTCTTTATGGCTCAGTTGTTCTGGAATGTCCTTTCACTGCCTATTAGCAAAGCAACCACATTCAATATAACTGTCGTCAGGAATAAGGAGTCATTTCAGGTAAATATTGAAAAGATTTAGCTGTCTTCCAGTTTATCTTGGAGGACATTTTTAGCTGAAGAATAACAGGCTTACAGGTAATAGTTATTAGTAACCTGACTAAGGAGTTTAGAAATTCTGGAGGTTCTGTCCTAGACTTGCCTATGGCAAAATTTGAAACATTGATGGCTAATGTGTTCTCTTCTCTGTCTTGCATATGGACCTGATAATGGTTTAGAAGCATTATACTGTACCTCTGACCAATTTTAATTTAAGCATTAGAAATTAAATTTCTAATGTTGTTGTTTTGAAGATGATCATGTTTATTTACTTTTTAAATGCATGCGGCATTTAGAACAATTTCCAAGTGCTTTCCTTTGCTATGGGGTTGGCCTGACAGCAGACCTTGGAGGTGAATCTATAACTACTGCGGGCATTTGTGAAAGTAGATTCTTCTGATCTGTGACTCCTGTTTTGGGAAGATTATCAGATGAGTCTCCTACAGTGTCATTTCCCTGTGGGTACTGGAACTTTGGAACTGCAGCTGCATGTTCCCTGGTCTTATCCTGCTTGTGGGGGCAAAGCAATCCATGGAAAAGGGTAGAGCAAGGGGAGCTATACCTGGAGGTCCAGCTGAGTGAACAGAGTTCATTTGTCTTGCTTGGCTGGAAATACAGTGAGTGGTGTCTGATTTAGCTAGTTCAGGTCTGCAGTTGAGGCTCTCTGGCTACTGGAGGAGAGAAACCTTTTTTTAAGAGATAGGGAGGGACAGAGGGAGAGGGAGAGAATCTTAAGCAGGCTCCATGGGGCTCGATCTCATCATGATCCTGAGATCATGACCTGAGCCAAAATCAAGAGTAGGACACTGAACCGACTGAGCCACCCAGGTACCCTGAGAAACCAGGAATATTACAAAGTAAAACAGTATGAACTTCTGATAGTGGTGAGAGCATGGAATATGCCTCCTCTGATATGGCTCTTTTGCCCGTGGCTATCAATAATAATTTAGCAAAGGGGCGCCTGGGTGGCTCAGTCGTTAAGCGTCTGCCTTCGGCTCAGGTTGTGATCCAGGGTCCTGGGATCGAGCCCCGCATCGGGCTCCCTGCTCCACGGGAAGCCTGCTTCTCCCTCTCCCACTCCCCCTGCTTGTGTTCCTGCTCTCGCTATCTCTCTCTGTTGAATAAATAAATAAAATCTTTAAAAAAAAAAAATAATTTAGCAAATCCTGTCTTTGTTTATATGCACACCAGTATATGTTCTTAAGGGGAATAACCAAGATTGATTTATTTAGAATGCAAGGATTCATTTTATAAGTTGGATGATAATGTTTATCTCATGAAACACAAGGAAGGCCGATCAGATCAGTTCCTAGATGCACTGGAAGGGATTACAACATCGCATTGCATGTCCCTCTTTTTATCTATAGCTTTAAAACAGAATACTATTGCATGAGCAATTTCATGTTCTATGATAGGCAAAATACCTAGAGAATAAGCCTTCCTGTGATTTCTTTTTATTTTTTTATTTTTTAAGATTTTATTTATTTATTTGACAGAGACAGAGATAGCGAGAGAGGGAACACAAGCAGGGGGAGTGGGGGAGGGAGAGCAGGCTTCCCGCCGAGCAGGGAGCCCGACGTGGGGCTCGATCCCAGGACCCTGGGATCATGACCTGAGCTGAAGGCAGACGCTTAACGACTGAGCCACTCAGGCGCCCCTTCCTGTGATTTCTACTCTGGCACTTGCTTTAGGATCTAGAAGAATGGGAGCTATTGGCCTCTGGTACATTATCAAGCTTTCTGATTGTGAACATTAATAATAAACATCTTAGATTTTTATTGGATAATTTAAAAATACATAAGTACTTGAATACTGAGTCTTTTATGTTGGCTGTTTCTTGAGAATACTTATCTCATTGTTGGTGATTTATGTTTATTATTAACTAAGTAATAAAAAATTAAAAGCATTTTATAATAATGAATAAATTATTTTTAATGAATTTATAAAAGGGATTGATGTTTTCAGTAGACAAAGAATAATGGCTTGATATGGTGTACAGGTGGGAAAAAATGGTCCCAGGATGAATGAAGCTAGACTGCCATGGGTTCTCTTCTATTTCTGTTGAGGGTTTCTTGGTGCCATTATCAAAATGACCCTCTCCTTGCCTTCCTTCCTAAATGGCCCAGTGAGAGTACTACTTTCTCTCCAAACCTCTTATGCCTTCAATCCTCTGAATTCAGGTAGTATGTGGTGTGTATAATATACTCTCTTAAAATTATTTATATTATTTCTTTATTTTTAATGCTCATGAGGACAATGATTTTCTTCTTACTCCTCTTTCTATTTCCCACAGTGCTGTGTTCTTTAAATAGAGGAGATGCGGGGCGCCTGGGTGGCTCAGTTGGTTAAGCGACTGCCTTCAGCTCAGGTCATGATCCCGGAATCCCGGGATCGAGTCCCGCGTCGGGCTCCCTGCTCGGCAGGGAGTCTGCTTCTCCCTCTGACCCTCCCCCCTCTCATGTACTCTCTCTCTCATTCTCGCTCTCTCAAATAAATAAATAAATCTTTAAAAAAAATAAAATAAAATAGAGGAGATGCATGTTGTTTGAATTCATTCATTCATTCATTCATTCATTCATTGGATTTATCCTATTTAGGAATTGGACCTGGAACATATCTAATTTCCTTCTCTCTTGGGAAAATAGTATGTTTCCCATTCCATTATTACATTAAAAATTTATGGTTTTAAATGTATATGGTATATACCATCATAAATTTACTTTGTTAAAATAAGGGATTGGGAAACAACATGGTATAATGAAAAATACTAGTATTTCTAATTTTAAGTTGACTATTCAGTAACTGGGTAGCCATTCTCTGCTTTAAATTTTCTTAGCTAGAAAATGCGAACTTTCAAAAGCTTAAAACTATGTTTGTCTTATGGACAAGAGCTTTGCTATGGAATTTTACTTTTATATAAAAAGATATGCCCCTTCCCTCCCTGTGCTCCCATAAGTTGTGGCTATGTAACTGCCTCTAGCCAATGGAATGTAAACAGAAATTTGATTAAAAAAAAAAGACATCTCTTCCCTTTGTTTTGTTCCTTCCTTCATCCTGCTGCTTGGAGCATCCTGCAGCCCCAGGTGCCACCTTGAAGCATGAGGATATAGGCCACATCGTAGGCTGCAGAGTGGGGAATTTGAAGAAGCCTGGGTCGTGAGGACTTCATGGAGTCGAGTTGCCCTACCAGCCTTGGACTACCCATGGAAAAGAAGTCAACTTGTCTTAAGCCACTATTTTGTGCCTCTGTTGCTCACAACCTAACCAAAACCTTATTCATACTCCATCACTACTCATTTATTTGTCTTTTACTTTCTCTAGACTCTGAGCTCCTTGCAGGAAGGAACTATACCTTACTCATGTTTGAATTCCTAGCACCCAGCACAATGATCTGACTTACAGTGGAGTACTCCATAAATGGTTATTGAATGAATGCATGAAAAAAAGCAAGTGGGTTATTATTTGCAGTGGCAGCTAAGTCTCTTGAAGTTTCTTCTGGAAAGTTAAGGTCAGTGTCTTAGCCAACTGTTCGTCATCCAGGTTCCCAGAATGAAGATGGTACATGGAGCAAAAGATGACATGCATAGAACACGAGAGAAAAACAATAAGCCTTTTTTTTTTTTTTTTAAAGCAAACCGACATGCACTTGGACAATTAGAATTGCAATTCAGAAGACACAGATTCGGATAGAAGTCTGAATTAGATTCCCTAAAAAATAAGTCTTTGTTGTTGTAAGCCATTAGGATTTATGAAATTGTTCGTTACTATAGCACAACAGAGTGAAAGTTGGCTGATGTTGTGGGCTTCATATTTGAGAAAACATGAGAATGGAAGGACGAGTGAGAGTTTGCCTGCCTGGAGGAAGCTGGTGGCTTGGGACATTCGAGGCAAAAAGAAGACCCCCTTGAGGGATACATTTTCTCAGCACATTGAATTCTGTAATATCAAGATCTAGTTCCCAAATCCCCTGCTTCTTCCATGAATTTTGAATTGGAAATACTTGAGAATTTTCATCTGTGTCCTCTTCTCCCAAAGTTTACAGCCCACATGTGTTAGATGTGAAAGAGACAGGAGGTACTGAGGGGAGGGGAGCCAAGAGGTACTGAGTACCCACGTGCCAGTCTTGGTGCTGAAAGCATTTTACTTCCCACTGTCATTTGCCGCTCTTGGGCTCTGAATGAGACTTCCATGTCATCACTCTTCTGTTTCACCAGAAAAATATAAAACTTTAGCTCCTCCTACCTTAGTAAGTAGGGAAGCTATTTACCATTTGACTCTATAAATGATTTTTGGGCGCATTCCTCATTTTGCACTACATAAATTGGATCGCATTTTACTGGCTACTGAACAGTAACAAACAACTCAGAATGTTTTTGGTGATAAAAGTTCCAATTATAAAAGAAACTGTGAAAATAGTTTCCTGGATCTTGGACAATGAGACTCAACTGAGAGGCTATAGGAATCAGATAAACCCCCCAGGAGTCAGGAAGGAAACATTTTTGAGCCTAATGCAGGGCTTGAACTCATGACCCTGAGATCAAGACCTCATTTGAGGTCAAGAGTTGGACACTTAAATGACTGAGTCACCCAGTCGCCCCAGAAAAGAATCTTTAAAATAATCACATCTTGTGTTTTTTTCCCAAATTATTTCAATGTCATATGCACATTGTAGAAAACCTGGAAAGAGATATAAAAGTATACTTTATTAAAAATTGTTTTCCCTCCAGGATTATATATATCATAGATATATAGCTTTTAGTTCCCCTTTTGGAAGATATATTTTCTCTGATTTTTAAAAGGCAGATGCTTGGGGCACCTGGGTGGCCCATTCAGTTAAGCGTCTGACTGTTGATTTCGGCTCAGGTCACGATCTCAGGGTCATGAGATGGAGCCCCGTATGGGGGGCTCCACAGTCAGCACGGAGTCTGCTTGAGTTTCTCTCCCTCCCTCTCTGTCCCTCCCCCTGCTTGCTCTCTCTTTCTCTCTCTCTCTCTCCCTAAGAAAAGAAAACAAATATGGCAAGTATTTTCCTGGTTTTTCTTTCTTTTTTTGAAAGCTTTCATTTATTTATTTGTCAGAGAGAGAGAGCACAAGCATGGGGAGTGGCAGGCAGAGGAAGAAGCAGGCTCCCCACTGAGCAAGGAGCCCAATGGGGGCACTTGATTCCAGGATCCCGGGATCATGACCTGAGCCGAAGGCAGACGCTTAATCGACTGAGCCACCCAGGTGTCCCTGGTTTTTCTTTTTTGGCACCCGGAAGTTTAAAACTTTTATTGTAGTCAGTTAATTTCCTTTGTGATTTTTAGGCTTAGAAAGGATTCCCCACCTGAGATTAGATAAATTTTCAGGCACATTTTTCTCTAAAAATTTTGTTTCATTTTAAAATTTCTTTTTATTTTTACACCTGACTATTCAATTTCTTTATTCTGGTGTGCAGTGAGAGCTAACTAGATTTCTTTCCTGGCATAGAGCGGGTGCCCACTCCCTCCTGTGCCAGAACGAATGAGTCAGATAAGGATGCATTTCCCAGTGAGGGCATTTTGGAAATCTGTAGGGGCATTCTTTGGTTGTCACGGTGATGGGGGCAGGCACTGCTGGCATTTAGTGGGCAAGGACTGAGGATACTACACATCTTGGCCTTGTGGGACAGTTCCAGAGTCTACTGTACTTTGAACACCCCACTGAGTTGAACCCATTATAAATACTAACCAGTAGTAATTTAATACATAACACTAAAAAGTTTCACAAAATTACAAGAATGGCCCATAATATAATATCACGTTATTATGGAGAGGGACACTTAAATGAACTAAAGACATTTGCTGCTTTTCCTCCCTCAACTTTATTGAGGTATAATTGACAAATACAATCTTGAGATATTTAAAGTGTACAGTGTGGCGATTTGATATACATTCCCCCCATCAAGCCAATGAACACATTCATCACCCCACGTATTTACTTTTTTGTGTGAATAAAGACATTTTCTTAATGTCGTTGAATAATATAATGTGTGCATCCTGCCTAGTTCAATGTAGTCTAGCGTTTCTAACTGCATCCTTAGTTGAGAGAGTTTTGTTTTGTTTTTTTTTTAAAGATTTTATTTATTTATTTGAGACAGAGAGAATGAGAGACAGAGAGCATGAGAGGGAGGAGGGTCAGAGAGAGAAGCAGACTCCCTGTCGAGCAGGGAGCCCGATGCGGGACTCGATCCCGGGACTCCAGGATCATGACCTGAGCCGAAGGCAGTCACCCAACCAACTGAGCCACCCAGGCGCCCGAGAGAGTTTTTTTTTTATAAGCAAGGCAACTGACTGCAAATGTGCAACAGAGAATTGTGGTCCCTTTAAACATTCTTTTCTTTTTTTAAAAAAGATTTGATTTTATTTATTTGACAGAGAGAGACAGCGAGAGAGGGAACACAAGCAGGGTGAGGGGCAGAGGGAGAAGCAGGCTTTCCACTGAGCAGGGAGACTGATGCGGGGCTTGATCCCAGGACCCTGGGACCATGACCTGAGCCGAAGGCAGAC